CATAGTATCCAGGGATGTTTAGGTTCGGTGAGTTAGACATGGGAAATGCAGGGGTAGGGGAATGGGTCTGGGTGGCTTGCTCTTCGGAGGGGCGGTGTGGACTTGTTAGGCCAAATGGCCTGTTTCCACTCTGTAGGGATTCTATAATACTGTGAAGAGGAAATATCCTTTTCACATCCACCGGGTCAAGTTGCATCAAGATCTTGCATGTTTCAACTAACACCTCCGACTTCTCTAAGCTCCAGAGGATATAGGCCTTTAGTTCAGTCATATAGTTTATCCTTTTGCTCATATAGCTTTTGAAAAGTGTTTACTTCCATGAGAGCTGACTCTAGTGGTAACTTAGCAGGATCAGTGTTTAAGCATGACCTCCAGCTATTCTGAAGCACACCATCACCTGCAGTCATACCTCTTGTTTGCATGATTAGGGAGGGAAGGGCTGTGTTTGTTCCCAGTTCTACATGTATCCATTTCTAAACATGAACTGTTTCCTGTTGAGTGATGTGCCAGATGGCATTCACACATCAACAGGAGTGTTGTGCGTCAGTTTTGTAAAGTGCTTTTACTTCCCTTGGTTAGGAAAGTCTGGGAGAAATGCTGCATACTTTGACTTCTTGTCGGAGGACAAAATTTGTTTGGGCTTCAGTGTATTCCTGTATGTGTCGATGCAGCTTTTTTTCTTGGATTGCCAATAGATCCCAGGTACATCACCTACATGTGTCATGAGAAATCACTATTTCTAACATTTAAAAAAATTCATTTGGCCACTTTTAGAATACTGCATACAATTCTGGTCTCTTTGCTATAGGAAAGATGTTGTGAAACTTCAAAGGGTTCAGAAAAGATTTACAAGGACATTACCGGGGTTGAAGGGTTTGATCTATGGGAAGAGACTGAATAGACGTGGGCTCTTTTCCCTGGAGCATCGGAGGTGGGGGGGGTATAAGTTCGTGAGGGGCTTGGATATTGTGAATAGCCAAGGTCTTTTTCCCAGGGTAGGGGGAATCCAAAACTAGAAAGGTTAGGTTTAAGGTGAGAGAGGCAAGATTTAAAAGGGACCCAAGGCCTACCTTTTCACGCAGACGCTGATGCATGTATGGAATGAGCTGCCAGAGGAAGTGAGGGAGGCTGGTACAATTACAACATTTAAAAGACATCTGAATGGGTACATGAATGGGAAGGGTTTAAAGGGATATGGACGAAATGCTGGCAAATGGGACTAGATTAATTTAGAATATCTGGTCAGCATGGACGAATTGGACCGAAGGGTCTGTTTCCATGTTGTATGTCTCTAAGACTCTGACTGTATGACTCTATAACCTTGTGAGCAGAGAGAAGGAAAACAATGCCTGACGAAATGACTTTTAGGCAGTTCACTGAAGTAAACAACATATTTTCTTTAAATATCAAGAACAGAAAATGCTGGAAACTTGCTTAATCAGCACATTGTTCGGGATCTATGTATTTTATGGGGTAAAGGCAGGAAATTGATGTTAAAATGCTCAACACCCAGTACAGACATGGGCCAAATGGCCTCCTTATGCTCCAGAACAATTCTGTGATAGAGGCAGTTTCAAATGAGACACTCAAGTGGGCATTAGATGATAATTTAAATAGAAGTGATGTGCAAGGCTATGCAGAAAAGACAGGAGATTGAAAAGAAGTCAAAAATGTTCAGAGCTAGTACAGACATTAGCCAAATGACCTGCTTCTTCTCTGCAACTGTTGTCTGATTCTGTGATATCAATATAGGAAGGAAAGTAAAAGGATCAACACAAGCACACATACACATGAAAAGGGATAGTTATTTAAGTTGGAAACATCTGATGGTTAAAAGCAGAAGTAATATTAGCATGAGACAGTAAAATGCATATCACAGGAAGGCAAAGAAATAAAAGGTAACTACGAGGTACATGGATTGTGCAAATAGCTGATGCAATGTGCAAAAGGCAGAGAGAAATGAAAGAAAAAAGATGGCAAGGCAGAGCTGACGCAACCCAGCAAATCTAGGTGAAGGGAAAAAGCAAATCGACCGCAGTTCTGCAAAATGCTGCATCAACAATGTGTTTCAATAGACTGTCCTCACCCCATACACCAATTAAATCCTCCACTTCCATCCCACTAGAACCATTTCACACTGACAGCACTTCCTACTGCAGGGGAATTTGGGGACAGTTAAAGGGGATGGATTAGTTAGCATTACTGGGCAGTGTTGGATTTTCAACATCTGCAGTTTTTTTTGCTTATTATTTTCTACTGCCAATGACAGGTCATCGTATCATGAAATAATTTCCTTTGTTCATAGTTATTCATTTCAATTTACATTCATTCTAATATTTTCAAGCAGAAACTATTTCCTGTGTCATCTAAATCGCTTGAATATGACTGCAATATCATTAAATGTTTTATTCAGCATATCACAACTTTGAATTCATAAGAGTAAACTGGTTACACATTATTTTGTTCCAACGGCAACTTTTTGAGTTTTGCTTGCACTGTTACATTTTATTTAACGTGTTAAATAGAAATCAAGAGAATCAGAGGGTCAAATGTAAATCATGGCTTCTGAATATTTGTTTTAAACAACAAAGATTTGCATTTTGACATAAATGCACAGCAGTGCTGGACTGAGGTCGATAACTTTCTATACTTTACAGTGCTAAGTGCCATCATTTCTCTCTACTACCTCACACTTATTTGAATGCTGCCACTGCACACAAGCACCACCAATGCCATGGACTATCAACCTCACTATTGCAGGCAGCATCTCAACTCAATAGCTCTCATTCCCCTCCACAATGACCAACTGTTTTGCCCTCTGGCTGAAAAGCTGCGCAATCCACAGACAGGGTGACTGCCTCTAAGCTGCTGACACATGGTTCAGGTGTGATATTACCACAACGCTATGCCGTACAACAAACTGTTCACCTTTCGACAGATGACTACTGACAATCGTAACAAGCTAACTGGCTTTGTGTCTGGACTAAACGGCAACACAAGACAGAATTATTGTGAGCTTTAAGATTTAGCTGAGAGAGTAAGGTGCAAAAGTCAAAGCAGAGATGCCGTAAGTATTGAAGTAGGTGCAGATTGAGTGAGTGTTAAGAAACTAAGTGAGGAGGTCTGAGATTCTCACTGATCTAATCCATTAGGTAGGTACCTACCTGTGTGTACAGGGTCCTGGCAGCACCACTGCAATGATAAATGCCAGTGCACCCCATAGCGCAGTATTAAAGTACAGAACCATATTGTACATAGACTGAAGATGTGCCATGAGGGTGGGATGAGTCTGGTGTGTGTTGGATGCTAACATGCATGGATGGTTGGCACAGGGAGGTGGTTCGTGCACGGCCTGCCTATTGACCCTGCTGATTGGTGTCCAATATGGAGGGCCATCAACACAACTCTACAAGCTAAAACTCCCATCACACACACACGGCACAAAAGAAAAGCCTGGGTGTTGTGTGTGAAGGGAAAGATTGAAAGGCTGTTCATTGTTACTATCCCAGGGATTCACTGAGATGGTCCAGATACATTCACTTGCTGCAGAAAGCATAGGATGGCCACTAGTTTACACATTGGTTAAAAAAACCCACAATTTACAGCAACTAATGAGTAGAAATAAACTGGCTATCTTCAGGCTTGAAATGCATTTTACTACTCAGCTAAAACATCCTTTTCCCTTCTGGAAGTCTGATGGCTTCTGCCCTAAACATTCACACTCCCAAAGTTGTTCATCTACCTGGAAGCCAAACACATAATGCTGACAGACAGAAGGCCTTTGTCATCGATAACTGGTTACTGTATTACAGGCCAATCAGCTACTTATTGCTGACTGAAGCACCATTCGCAAACAGCCCCCTGGTCTCAGTTTGACTGTGGCTAGACCTGCCCCACTGCTTTCGCAAACAGCTTTGTAAACAGCACTCACAATGGTTGTCAGGTAACTGCTATTTTTTTTTTTTTTAAAGTGCAGCAATCCTTCAACAATCCTTAGCCTTTAAACAACTTACTTCTCCATTTCAGTCCACAATCAAAACTACAGAAAAATAAAATGACCATATAGTACCACCGTATAGTTTCTAGCTGGCAGCTAGCAGATAGGGAAACTGCATACAAATAAACTGAGCTTAATTAATAATTTGTTAATGTATATACTAATGTATGTAAATAGGCCTTTCACCACTCACGAGTAAGAACCTCATCTTAGTGTTCAGGACTTGGTTGGAAATTGGGACTTTTTCTGAATTTCACTGTTGCCAATCTTATCCTATTTCCCCATCTATTTTTGCCAACACTCACATTGTCCATTGGAAGGGAATATTCCTTCCTATGTATTTCCACCATGTTGGAAAATAACAGAACTTATAACTGTCAGCATGGTATAGATGATTCTATGGTATACCAGCTATTAAAATATAAAACCCTAGATACAATAGTGTTTGTCTGGGCTCCTGGACATTTCTTTTCCACACAATGCCACGTTGCAGCAATTAGCACATTTCCAAAGATGAATTTAGGAATGAGGTGAAGTGCAAAATTAAGTTAATGCAAGTTGCTGATGCACTTTATATACCCAAATGTACACTTGAGAGCTATTTAATTGACATTGTTGAATAAGCTCATTAAAATGCAATTTTCAGCTGACTTTGCTGACAACCATGACAATTATATAATACACTGATATTTTAGTATTTACACTGAACTTTCAGAACAGAGTTAGATTTGAAGAACATAAGCTGGTCCACGAAAATAGAGGAAAGAACCTTAAAAAAATTCAGCATATTTCTCTTACAATAATGCTTCCCATTTTTAAAATAATACTCAAAATCAGAAGAGGGCTTCACATTACCACTTCCAAACCAGCCAACTTCATAGTCTCTCTAAGTAAACTATCAAAGTACAGGAGATGTTGATTGATAAGACTAGTTTGCATTTTGAGTTCAGATAAGGCTGTTCAACTGCTTTTCATTTAGACAGATCAAAGAGAGGACACTTACATTTTTTCATTTTAGATTCTTCCCCAGGATCAGAGATGGAAGAACAGTTCCCTAACGCATCATATCTTCAAATCCCCAAGGGCTGGTCACTTTATATGCTAACCTTTCAGCCAAAGATTAAGAGGACCCTGAAACAGAAGGATAATATATTGTGGTTGAACCTGGAACATGCAGCCATTTTAAAAAAAATTAGAACAAAAGCACAAAAAAAAATATAGATGAACATCCTGTGTTCTAAGGATGTGTGAAAGTCTGGTGAGAAATCCGGTGAGTTTTGTAACTTTGTTTCCCATTCATTAAAGTCAGAAAATTAGGCTAAGGACCTAGGAAACTTTTAAAACTCTTTAAAAAAGATTTAGATTCTTGGTAATTTGGGATCATTTCTGGGGGAAGATGGAATCTGAACAGCCTGGATGAGTTTCAACTAGACAGAGCCAGGAACAATTTCTTTGTGGGGCAATTAGTTAGTGCTAGTGGGGATGGATTAAAGTAACTTGGCAGTAGTGTGGGGATTAGGAGGTAACACTTGACAGAGATACCAAGTGAAAAAGAATATTGGAGAAATAGCAAGAGTCAGAAGTATAGAAAGTAGCAAGGAATGAGGTGGGTTTGGCATTAGAGAAAAAGTAACAAAATTTAATTTAGAATTACAGTGCATATACATGAATGTGTGGGGTATGGTATGTAAAATTTATGAGTTGCAGATTCATGGAGATATAATGTGGCTGTAGCAGAGACCTAAAACAGAGAAGGGTGGGACTAGGTAATAAAGATTCTTTGAAAGAATTTGCTATGGAAAGAAAGGTGGAAAGTGAAAGTATTAATTAAGCAGAATATTGCACCATTGAAGAGGGAGGATGTCTCAGATTTGTCAAGAATAGAATACATTTGGCTAGATTTAAGGAATCAAAAAGGTACAATTACATTGCTCATTGTACTCTAATGGAAGCCACTAGTGGGAAAGATATAGAGGAACAAATTTGCACAGAAACAACAGAGAAATTAGTCAAATATAGAGCAGTTAAAATGGGGACTTTGAATAACTGAACATAAACTTGGATAGTGGAGCACAGCACAACAGGTTTGTCATTCTTAAGAATATTTAACTCAAAGTGGAAGTTGCAGAGTTTGATGGGCTAGCTAAGAAGGGCACCCTGATACAAAAAGCTCTTCAGGCAGGAGTAGTAACTTGGTGTATAGTAGGGCATAGTATAGTCAGCAACAGGGTGGGGCATGAAGAGACAAGGTAGATGGTCTCAGCAATGTGCACTATGGCAAGATTTGTGACAGAATCAGACAAGAAATCCAGCAAGGCCAATCTCAATATCAGGGGCAACTTCACCCCTAGAAAAGGAAAAGCACCTTTAATGCTTTTCCCAAGTGGCACTTTGAGTTAAAAACCAAAAGAACTGTGGATGCTGTAAATCAGGAACAAAAACAAAGTTGCTGGAAAAGCTCAGCAGCTGTAAAGGAGAAAACAGAGTTAACATTTCAGGCCCAGTGACCCTTCCTCAGGACTAATGGCAGCTGGGAAAACATCACTTTATATGCAGAAAATAGGGAGGTGGGTGGGGTAGGGAGTAAACGATAGGATACTATGGCACTTTGAGTTCCTTGTTAGGCAGTGGTGAGTTGCCAATTAAGGGGAATTATTGCTTGTTAAACTCTTTGCTAATAGTCCAACTGACCTAATTAACATTCAGCTTTCTATCTTAACAAATGTGCAGGAAAAATTTAGATGTTGAGGTCACTTGACATGATGGTATGAAGGCAGAGCTGGCCAAGGTGGACTGGGAAACTAGTTTAAAATCTAAGGGAGCAGATTTTCAGTGACAAGCTTTTGAAGAGACATTTAATTACTCTCAGCAAAAATATATCCCTACGAGAAAGAAAGGCTCTTTGGGGAGTATGCATCATCTAAATAAGGAGATTTAACACTAATGGTTGGTCAGAAAATTAGACAGATTTTAAGAACCAGCAAAGTGTCACTAAAAAGATGATAAAAAAAATGTAAAGCAGAGTTTTAGAGGAAGCTACTCAGCAACATAAAAGCAGGATGGAATTTTCCTCTCCCCTGAGTGGAGTGAGTGAGGTAAGAAAACATGATGGAAATGAAAAATTGGACTCTCAATGTGAGAAAACTTTTCGCACTTTTCCCTTCAAGTTGAAAATGGCAACTTGGGAATTTTGCCAGAGATAGTAGGAACTGCAGATGCTGGAGAATCCGAGACAACAAGGTGCAGGGCTGGATGAACACAGCAGGCCAAGCAGCATCATAGGAGCAGAGAGGCTGACGTTTCGGGCCTAGACCCTTCATCAGAAAAGGGGGAGGGGAAGGGGGTTTTGAAATAAATAGGGAGAGAGTGGGAGGCGGATAGAAGAGGGATAGAGGAGAGGATAGGTGGAGAGGAAACAAACAGGTCGAAGAGGCGGGGATGGGGCCAGGAAAGGTGAGTGTAGGTAGGGAGTTAGGAAGGGGATAGGTCAGTCCAGGGAGGACGGACAGGTCAAGGGGGCGGGATGAGGTTGGTCGGTAGGAGATGGAGGTGCGGCTTGAGGTGGGAGGAGGGGATAGGTGGGAGGAAGAACAGGTTAGGGAGGCAGGGACGAGCTGGACTGGTTTTGGGATGCGGTAGGGGGAGGGGAGATTTTGAAACTTGTGAAATCCACATTGATACCATTGGGCTGCAGGGTTCCCAAGCGGAATATGAGTTGCTGTTCCTGCAACCTTCGGGTGGCATCGTTGTGGCACTGCAGGAGGCCCAGGATGGACATGTCGTCTGAGGAATGGGAGGGGGAGTTGAAATGGTTCGCGACTGGGAGGTGCAGTTGTTTGTTGCGAACCGAGCGAACCGTTCTGCAAAGCGGTCCCCGAGTCTCCGCTTGGTTTCCCCGATGTAGAGGAAGCCACACCGGGTACAGCGGATGCAGTATACCACATTGGCAGATGTGCAGGTGAACATCTGCTTGATGTGGAAAGTCTTCTTGGGGCCTGGGATGGGGGTGAGGGAGGAGGTATGGGGGCAGGTGTAGCACTTCCTGCGGTTGCAGGGAAAAGTGCCGGGTGTGGTGGAGCTGGAGGGGAGTGTGGGGCGGACAAGGGAGTCACGGAGAGAGTTGTCCCTCCGGAAAGCAGATAAAGGTGGGGAGGGAAAGATGTCTTTGGTGGTGGGGTCGGATTGCAGATGGCGGAAGTGTCGGAGGATGATGCGTTGGATCCGGAGGTTGGTGGGGTGGTACGTGAGGACGAGGGGGATTCTTTTTTGGTTTTTATTGCGTGGACGGGGTGTGAGGGATGAGGTGCGGGAGATGTGGGAGACACGGTTGAGGGCGTTCTCGACCACCGAGGAGGGGAAGTTACGGTCCTTGAAAAACGAGGACAACTGAGATGTACGGGAGTGGAATGCCTCATCCTGGGAGCAGATGCGGCGGAGGCGAAGGAATTGGGAATAGGGGATAGCATTTTTGCAGGAAGGTGGGTGGGAGGAGGAGTATTCTAGGTAGCTGTGGGAGTCGGTGGGCTTGAAATGAATATCGGTTTCGAGGTGGTTGCCCGATATGGAGACAGAGAGGTCCAGGAAGGGGAGAGAGGTGTTAGAGATGGTCCAGGTAAATTTAAGGTTGGGGTGGAAGGTGTTAGTGAAGTGTATGAACTGTTCGAGCTCCTCGTGGGAGCACGAGGCGGCACCGATACAGTCATCAATGTAACGGAGGAAGAGGTGGGGTTTAGGGCCGGTGTAGGTACAGAAGAGGGATTGTTCCACGTAACCTAAAAAGAGGCAGGCGTAGCTTGGGCCCATGCGGGTACCCATGGCTACCCCCTTTGTCTGTAGGAAGTGGGAGGAATTGAAAGAGAAGTTGTTGAGTGTGAGGACGAGTTCGGCTAAGCGGATGAGGGTGTCAGTGGAGGGGGACTGGTCGGGCCTGCGGGACAGGAAGAAGCGGAGGGCCTTAAGGCCATCTGCATGGGGAATGCAGGTGTAGAGGGACTGGACGTCCATGGTAAAGATGAGGTGTTGGGGACCGGGGAATTGGAAGTTCTGGAGGAGGTGGAGGGCGTGGGTGGTGTCACGGACATAGGTAGGGAGTTCCTGGACCAAGGGGGAGAAAATGGAGTCGAGATAGTTGGAGATCAGTTCGGTGGGGCAGGAGCAGGCGGAGACAATGGGTCGACCAGGGCATTCAGGTTTGTGGATTTTGGGAAGGAGATAGAAGCGGGCAGTGCGAGGTTGGGGAACGATGAGGTTGGAGGCCATGGGTGGGAGGTCACCTGAGGTGATGAGGTTGTGGATGGTTTGCGAGATGATGGTTTGGTGCTCAGGGGTGGGGTCATGATCAAGGGGGCGGTAGGAGGAGGTGTCGGAGAGTTGGCGTCCGGCCTCGGCGACGTAGAGGTCAGTGCGCCATACTACAACTGCACCTCCCTTGTCCGCGGGTTTTATGGTGAGGTTGGGATTGGAGCGGAGGGAGCGGAGGGTTGAGCAGTGACTACCTTATTTCCATGTATTTGCATCTCATTAACACTCCAAGTCACTTTATTTATATGCAACTTCAAATTCCCCTCTCCTTTCCCAAGAAAGCACACAGCACAAATTCCCACCTTAAAGTCAGAGTGAGTACCTGGCAATTGCAGTTCACAAAATATTTATGCCAACATACGTGTAAATGTTTCTTCATAACATGGCCACCCTCCTCTTTAATCTTTCACATACACAAGTTGGGATTGGCAAACTACCAGCCTCATCATATCAATGTGCCTGCTCTATGGCCAACTCAGAAACCATATCAGCCCTTCAACACTTTACCTTGGAGCTCAGGAACCCATGCATGTGTGCAGGAATCTCTATACATTTAATGCAATAGCGCAGGATGCAAGTTATGGCTCTTAGCTTGCTTCCTTAGCACTCACTCACTTTGTATTTATTTGCATGCTGCCAGCCTCTGTCTATTTCATATCGCTTTCTAAGTGCACACTCACTGTCTTCAGTACTGACTCACCGCAGCCAGCCAGCCTCTGTGAAAGTCACATTACTTTCTAAGTGCATTAGTGCTTAGTTACAGGCTACAAGCCTCAGTGGCTTGCCTTGAGTTTTAGCACAGAGGTAGAGGCAGTCAGCTTGTGATGGTGAGCAGCACTGGACAGTCTATTTATCAGTTAGGTAGTGGGACACATTGCTATCTGGCACCGTGCTATATCGATACCAGGGCTGCAACATTTGCCAGCTTTACTTGGCAAACATACTGCATGTGCTTCAAGCAAATGGCAATGTGTGAAAAGTCAATGTGGAGCAGTCTTCAGTGAAGTGAAAGTGACTGCAGTTATTCAGGAGGCTGAGCAAACATAATGAGTGCAGTATCGAGAATTGTAGTCTATAAACCTTGGTGAGAGTTGTGTGCAGTAGCTGAGTTAGACAATGGAGGAGAGAGAGGGTGGTGTGACCTATACTTTTGGAGCATAGAAAATCATTTATCTTCTTTCATTTACTCCTGGAGCTGGGCTATAAATTATGCCCGGGCTGGCTGAGTCTGGTGGCATGGTCTTCTGAGGCATTTGGCTGGAAGAAGGAATGCCTTCCTCTCCAGCACTCCAGCCACCAACACCTCTAGGTCCCTGTGTGTGAACTGGGGAGTGAGCTATCTTTTCCTTTGTACTATGTTTGGTAATAATAGTCATTATGGGGGCCAGTTCCTGGCTTGTAACTTTCTAAGAAAAAAACATTCCTGGGTTATGGGTGTTGCTGGCTGGGCTAGCATTTATTACTCATCCTAGTTGCCTTTGAGAAAGTGGTGGTGCAGCTGGGCATTAAATATGGCATTTGAGGCATAAAAGCTGAAAGGTTCCAGCACTGTCAAGGACTTCTACCTCTCTAGCCACACAATTTCCCAAGAAATATACTCAACAGCACAGTTAATATGATTAAGAGCAGAAGATTGTGAGAAAAGTTGTTCCAAGCCATAGTGGACTGGGCACCTTGAATCTCACTCTACAAAACACGTTAAGTGCAAGTGGGGAAATTTTGTTCTAAGTGAGAGTTACTGCAATTATTTCAATAGGAAGAGTAACCAAAACTAGTGCTGGTCCTCCACAGTGAGTCTGGGTAATGGATAATGCAAAACAAAAAAATTGTGGAGGGTTTGAACAAGTGTTTTGTGGCTGTCTTCACAGTAGAAGACTTAGGAAAGTGAGGGATGAAATTAAACAATCACCATCACCAGGGAAAAGGTGCTAGGAAAATTTATTGGACCTCAGATACTGAAGCAGTCCATATTCACATGCAACAAGATCTGGACAATATCCAGGCTTGGGCTGACAAGTGGCAAGTGACATTTGCGCCACACAAATGCCAGGATATGAACATCACCAATAAGAGACAATCTAACCACCGTCCCTTGTCATTCAATGGTGTTACCATCACTGAATCCCGCACTATCAACATCCTTGGGGTTACCATTAACCAGAAACTCAACTGGATTCACCACATTAACAGAGTGGCTACAAGAGCAGGCCAAAAGCTAGGAATACTGCGGTGAGTAACCCATCTCCTCACTCCTCAAAGCCTGTCCACCATCTACAAGGCACAAGTCAGGAGTGTGATGGAATACTCCCCACTTGCCTGGATGAGTGCAGCCCCAACAACACTCAAGAAGCTTGCCACCATCCAGGACAAAGCAGCTCGCTTGATTGGCACTGCATCCACAAGCATTCACTCCCTCCACCACCAACTCTCAGTAGCAGCAGTGTGTACTATCTACAATATTTACTGCAGAAATTCACCAAAGATCCTCAGACAGCACCTTCCAAACCCAAAACCACTTCCATCTAGAAGGACAAGGGCAGCAGATATATGGGAACACCACCACCTCCAAGTTCTATCCAAGTTACTCAACATCCTGACTTGGAAATATATCACCGTTCCTTCACTGTCACTGGGTCAAAATCCTGGAATTCCCTCCCTAATAGCATTGTGGGTCACCTATAGCAGGAGGAATGCAGCTGTTCAAGAAGGCAGCTCACCACCACCTTCTCAAGGGCAACTAGGGCTGGGCAAGAAATGCTGGCCAGCCAGCGATGCCCACATCCCACAAAAAATGAATAGAGAAAAAAAAAGGCTGACAAGTTGCTAACACCAGATGGTCTTTATTTTCCTAACCCCTGGATGACATGGGCAATGATGAGTCAGTTTGGAAAATACAGTAATATCAAAAAAACGAGATTCTTGATGTCAAGAAAAAATCATCTGATTTTCTAACCATAATTTGAACAGCGAGCTGATAATATGACGAGTGAGCAGTGAGAAGCCTATTTGCATGCATTGACATTGTATTAATTTTGCCTCATTTACATGCGGTTTCCTGTTCTCCCTCACAGCAGAGCGAAAATAATGACAACTCCCAACACAAAGATCAGAGTGGGTAATCTTTGCATGGAACCTTGTATATCACAAACAAGATTCCATGCAAAGTCTGCGACAAACATTACATTGGACGGACAGGAAGGAAACTGGCCACAAGAATACATGAACACCAACTAGCAACGAAAAGACATGACCAGTACTGACTTGTCTCCATTTACACAGATAAGGAGAACCATTAGTTCAATTGGGACAACATCAGGATCCTAGGCCAAGCAGAGACAAGCACAGGAATTTCTAGAGGCTTGGTTCTCCACCAAGAAGGCCATCAATAAACACGTAGAATTAGACCCTATATATACACCACTGTGAAGAAAAACTGGAAATGAGGTAACCAAATCCAGCGGACCCCAGAATTTAAACATCAGGTGGGAAAACACAACAGCACTTCATCGGAGGCTGCACTGATGATGTTACCCAGCAGGTTAGTGAAATATCTGCGAACTAACGAACCAGCTCGGCGAGCCAACCAACCACAGCAGTCAGGTAGTTTATGTCACGGGTTCCATATCATTTCAGTCCTGCAGATCCAGTGCAATCAGTCTGGGGATTCATGGAACATCAGTTGAGGAAATGCACTGATACAGTCACCAGTATGGTCACTCATCAGTCAGGACTGTCTTTCCAATTTGGTTAGGGGTATGTACCATCGTCGGCCTTGGGAGTTTGTTCATTGAAAGTTAAGGCCAGTTAGCAGGGGCTGCTGCTGTGGAAAAGACATTGGGGAGGTAAATTGTGGCAACAGAGGCAGCATAATGGCCTGCAGAAGGGTCAATAATAGTGAAAGTAACATATAAGTTAGGAGATTATGGTACTTTACGAGCATGGGTTATTGCAAGAGGGGAATATTATCAATGGTCACTGTTACCTGGGCTTCAACGGGGGAACAATGCATCTATAAACTCGGGGCTCAGAGAGAAATGTTTGGAGATAAAGACTTAAATGAAAGAGTTGGGTCGGAATGTGTGGAAGATCATATCTGACAGGGAGTGTAAGGAAGAAAGGGACACAGAGGTTTGGGAAGTCACTCTGTGAAGCATGTCCTGTGTTGGCTTTCATCCTTGTTCAAATTACAACTGCACAATAGAAATGAAAAATGGCTGCCATCACACTGGGAGGGGTTGGAGTCAGTGGCTTTCTCTTTCTGAGCAAATGAACTCATCAACAATGTGAGGCCTTTCAGGAGGCAATTGCATTAATGTGGCACTCACACATATGGGCTAAAGACGTGTGATAATAATCCTAGATAAGAACAATCTTGAAAATGTCATTGATCATTACAAATTGATTGTAGTCATAACTGTGAGGCAGGAGTACGTCATAGGTGACTTTAAAAGTTTCACCTGTGAGCCACAATTCACAAAGATAATTCAGAAGCCCATAGGGCTGAACGAGGGTGCAGTGTTGAACTCTATGTATTTGCCAACATGCTTTTATATGCAATGTTGTCTTTCTTGGGTGTTGTGAGGTCGGGGTGGGTGAAAGGTTTCAGTAATCTTCCAGTACTTACAATTTCCTCCTGTATTTGCACAGCATTCCTTGTGCTGCATACATCAGAATAAGGCGCACTATGTCAAAGGTCCAGGCACAGGCATTTCAGTGGCCTCTGACTTCCCCCAGGTGCAAGGCATTATAGACTGTGTGCATGTTGTTTTGAAGCACTATATCATAACACTTCCCTCCATCCAGAGCACTAACGTTTTTGTGTCTGTCTGGATGTATGTGGAGTTTTACAAAGAGGGTTGGCTTTTAAGTCGTAGAGTTATGTGTTGACATTTCACAGTTGTTTACCTATGGTTAGAATCTATTTATTTCACATAAATTGTAGCCAAGAAACTTGGCCTATGTTTTCTACTGACCTGCTCTAAAAAAAATTTAAGTCAGGACAGCGTACCTTGATAAAATCTTTAACTTTTGTGACGACTCCAGGAATAGCAGGGCTTGATTTCCAATGTGTTACCAATGAGGTGTGACAGCAGACCTACTTTTATTTAGAAAAAACATCAGCACATTATTATTACAGAATACATGTGATTCAGGGAGAATTGTGCGGCACACAATCTCCTCTCTGTAGAGATACCTTTTGTATTAATACAGATGCCGTACCATTTGCCTCTATGTATAAAGAGAGCAGATTTCATAGCATGATTAATGAAACAATGTAACATGACCTGTGTAAATAAACTAGCAGTCACAGAAGCTGAATGTTGCAGTAACCTTTTCTGCAAGTAGAAGGGCACAGTTAATAGTGCATGACAGTATGTTGCTCAGCATATCAACCAAATTTTTGTTCAATTTATATTAATAAAAGCAGCAAATTGGAATTAATTAATGAAACCGAATGTTTTTGCTTCAAAATGCTTGGAAAAATCTTCTCTATTAATTTACTGCCCATCCCTAAATGCTCTGGAGAAGGATGTGGCAAAGTGCCTTCTTGGAGTATAGGGATATGCACAGTGTTGTTAGGAAAGGAATTCCAAGATTTTGACCAAACAACAGTGAAGAAAGTGTGATATAGTTCTAAGTCAGGATGGTGAGTGGCTTAGAGGGGAAGTTGCTGATGGTGGTTCCATGATTAGTTGCCCTTGTCTACAAGAGAGTACTGATCCTGGGTTTAGAAGATGCAGAGGGGGAGTTTCAGTGAGCTACTGCAGTGCACCTTGTAGATGGCACACACTGCTGCCACTGTGTATCAGTGGCGAAGGGAGTAAATGTGGTCTTTGGGGTACCAATCAACCGGGATACTTTGTCCTAGATGGTGCCAGGCTTCTTGTTTTTTGTTGGAGCGTCGCTTCTCTATGCAAGTGCAGAGTATTCCATCACACTCCTGACTTGTGTCTTGTAGATGGTCAACATCTATTCAACAGGTATTCACCACAGAATTTTTAGCCTCTGACCTGCTTCTGTAGCCATTGTATTTACATGGCTGCCCTTTCCTTATTCCCCAAGATAATATCTCCTATTTCTGCCTCTAAGAAACTAAAATTCATTTGAACTAATCTCCTTTTTATATATTTATTAAAGCTCTTACAGTAATTTTTAATATTCTTTGCCGATTTATTCAAATATTCTATTTTTCCCTTTTTCACAACTTTTTGGTGGCCCTTCGGTGGTTTCTAAATGCTCCCAGTCTTCAGACCCTCTACTATTCTTTACCACATTAAACATCTGTTATTTTATACTAACATTATCATTAATTTCCTTAGTAAGCTGTTAGCTTTCTTATTGGATTAATGCTTTTTAGTGGAATATATTTTACTGTGCATTTTGAATTGTTTCTTTAAACGTTTCCCACTTTTTGTTTATAACATATCTGTTAATCTATTTACCCATTTTACCTTAACCAGCTCTCCTGCCTTTGAATCCTATGTAATAGCTTTATGTTTAATTTGAGATTCTTGTTTGGAAATTGAATATACTATTATTTTTTTCAAAGTTTTCATATTATGATCACTTTTCCCATTAGATCATTTACTGTGATTGTTGTTAATTAAACCTGCCTCATTGCTTAATGCCAGATCTAAAATAGCTTTCTCCCTAGATGCTGCCGAAAATGGCTTTATCCTAAGTTGATTCATTGTGAGGGTATGGGAGATACAATGCACTCATGTGAATGTAAATTGATTAAATCCTTACACAACAAGAAAAACATTGAATTTAGTGGAATCAACAAAAGTAAAATTCATGGGGGTGGGGGAGTAGAGGTGTTCAGCCAGGTAGGGTCTTTGGGAATGTACTGAGAGTTATAATCATTGTTGGGATCTCAACATTTGGTTTTCACTGGGATGGATTTGAAAGCCACCGGGGACTTCCATGCTGTTGCTATTGTGTAAGTCATTTAAAGTTATGCAATCATTAATTATGTGTGTTTTATTCCAGGATTCTTGCTTTAATAGTCCACACACCTATCTCCTAAGCTGTATGGAACTCACCAGGATTACTGGGGTGAGTGCACAGCAGCGACTGTTTTTCAACAAAACTGATAGGCTGGGCAGTCTTTAATCAGTGAAACCAAAGAGTTTCAGCAATGGCCCAGTGGAAAGCTAGTACCCCCATCTGATCTTCATCTCTGGGAACCCAGAGGTGGGACACTCATTCCACAGCTCTGTTATACAGCCTCATCAAGACCACTTGATGAGTCCAATGGGCTCCCAATCTGCTGATGGTCCTGGCATTTGGCTGGGACTAAGATCAGCAAATTCTGCCCCATGTTCATTACTTCCATACATTAGTTGGTAGAAACAAAAAATTAAATATGCACTTTGTGAGGATATTGTCGTCACCCTGTGATCCCGTGGCAAAGTAGCCCAGCAAGGCTGTTTCCACTGAGTTTCTGCAGGGCTCAGGACTAGGTCTCTGGTATTTTTATTCCAAAAAGCAGTTTGGAAGTGACAGAAAATAAGTCGTATGGTTGATAGTGGGCAATAGAAGTGTGTGCTATAGAACGATATCAATGGATTGGTCAGGTAGACAAAAACAGCAAGAAACAGAATTAAATTCAGAAAAATGAGAGATAATGCATTTAGAGAAGGCAAATTAAACAAGGGAATACACAATAAATAATAGCATGTTGTGAAGTGAGAGGAACAGAGGGAGGTTTGAGTGTATGGCTACAATTCTTTATAAGTAACAAGGCAGATAGATGACATGGTTCAGAAGAATAGAAGAATGGCAAATAATGTATAGCACGGAGATTATGGGAGAATCTATAAAATGTAAGATTGACCATAGCTATGGCTCTGGCCATCACATTTCAGGAATGGTGTAACTACAGTGGGTGCGGAGAAGATTTTAAAGGATATTGCCAGGAATGGAGAATTTTAGCTATGAGGATGGATTGGATCAGCTGGGCTGTTTTCTTTGAATCAAAGGAGGCTGAGGGGATATTTATTTGAGGTAAATGAAATTGTGAAAGGCCTGATAGAGTGGATAGGAATGACTTTTTTTTAAAACAGAGAAGTTGATAACAAGGGAGAATAAGTTTAAAGTAAATAACAAAAAGATTGGAGGGGTGTTACAGGGAATTTTCTTCTATCAAAGAATATCTAATCACTATCTTAAAAACTAATTGAATTAGATGTGAAAATCATTGCTGGAAAATGCATATTGGAGACTGAAACCCTTCCAGAATTTAAAGAGTACTTAGATATGCAGTTAAAGTGTTGTCATTGACAGAGATACAAGCCAAGAGTTAGAAAGTGGGATTAGGCTGGTTAACTCTTTTTCAAGCACACAGACATGATGGACTGATCAGTCTCTTTCTGTACTGATGGTTTTCTATTTCTACTTACTGAAATTTTCCAAATTTTAGTCTAGATGTCCAATGAAAGTTTCATTCTGCCACTCAGTTTCCCACTCAATACATATAATTTAGCAGAAACAAACAGTATATACAGTATTTCTTATTTCTATGCTATGCATTAGGGCTCAAAGAGGTTGCAATTAGCATGTCAACACTAATACACTTGCATGATCTTTCTCTGTTTTGTTAACAGTCATTAACCTACTTATTTTAAAACAGCAGACAAGCTTTTCCAGCTAACCTTTTGTCACAGTGGTCATCCATCTGCCACTGAATGAATCTATTCATTTAAACTTAACTGATGCTGAATAATGATCTTTTAGTTCTGTGAGTTCTGTAAACTACACAGCATCTGCAATTAGTGCATCATGTATTAACCGTCCAGGCATATTGTTACTTCAAGAATTTTCGATCATTGGATTCTTTCACAGCCAACCTCTTCCCTGTTTGACACATTGACCTGCTTTTCCTGTTGAAAATGAAGCACTGTCCGCTGCTAACTGAACTAAATAATCCATTCTCAACTAGTCCATAGCCTATAGCAGAACTTATTCGCCTGAATACCACAGTGATTCAGTGGCAGACTCTTGACCAAGGCTCAGAAGAAGGTGTATTCTTGGTGAAGTCACTCCTCCATTAGTAACACCAAAAAAAAAGCCATGCCTCTTGAGATCAAACAGTCAGTCATTGTTTGGATTGGTGTTTCATGATACTTTGTGATTTTAAATAGTCTTAAACATGATAAAACTTTTAAATACTTTTCAATACATTTATGGAATATGAAAAATTGGTAAGAACCTTTAAACACTTCAACAAACCTTTAAATGCTTGTAATCACTTCTAAATGCTTCTTCGCATTTTGAGAAATTATTGTACATTTTAAATGTTTTAAAACTTTACAGAAAACTATTAAATACTTTAACAAACTTTGAATGGCAAAGTTTGCATTCTTGTTTTGGAAGCTAACCTGCTGAATGATCGCCAAAGTAGATCAAGAAACTGAATTCACTGTTGTGACCAATACCCAGTGCTGCCCCTAACTGATTCAATTAATTTTTAAGAAGGTGGTTAGATATATAAATTTTTGATTGAGCCAAACGCTGGCACAGAGCCAAGCTCCGAATGCTCTGATTGTTCACAATTATCTGCATGGCCTTCAGGTATGTTTAGCGGTGAAAATATTTCCCCTATCAACTTTTACTTTAGGTCACCTTCATTGTATGCTTATCACATCACCTGATATTTGAACATAATTGGTATGTGTTGCTACACTATCCCTTTCATTCATCATGCTCAGTTTAAAAGGGACCGTACAGCAACATGTCAAATCTAGCTTTATTGCCTTAATTCAAATGTTGTTTGTCAAATATTTTGATATCTGTCACTCTTGGTCAATCACATTACTTTACTGAATGCTCTTAAATTTATGTGGAATTCAAATTTTTTATAGTCCCAACCCTAAAATACCATGAGTGCTTGGAATGGTTATTTCTTTTCAGTTTATATGATACTGCTTCACTTACATTCAAGAAACATTCAACTCAGGGAAATGTCATATTAATGCAGATCAGCAGGTCACAGCTATGAAATATGAAACTGGGAGTCAATTTAGATTACATCTACAGATTAAAATATACTTTTGCTTCTGCCGATTTTTTTTATCAGAAATAGTTCAGTGCAGAGGAAGTTCTTCAGCTATTAGTGTGCTGTAGCAAAGCAATTGACAAGGAGAATATTCCACAGCTTTCTGGCACTGCAAGAAACTATATATCATTAGGATTATTTTTGGACAGCTCCCTTGGCTCTCCAGGTTCGTCTTCCTAGGTTCTCTGGCTCTCCAGACCTTTCTTCCCACTCACCCTTGGCTCATCTTCAGATTCCTGCTCCTCTCACCCACACAGGTTCCTTAGCACTTGACGTAAATTAGAGTTTTGCTGACTCGTATTCTGATTCTTACACTGAACTATAAAACTTTTATTCCTGCTTGAGATACGCCCACAGTACAAGTAGCTGAGAGATGACTTAATCAGCAACTGTGGCTTGGGTCTTCATTGACTAAATGTTTTCTTTGGCCTGAATGGTTAAAAAAGGGACCAAATGGTAAAAAGGTAAAATAGAGCAGAAATTCAGGCTGAACATGAAAACAGGCAGTCCGCTGTGTGAGAACTTAAAAAAAATGCCAAGCAGAATCCTTGACCCAGACATAGGTAGAAACAAAACAACTGAGTACCAGGACCACAATGTTTTATTAGCTTGAGCTAAGTTTGGCATTGGAATGCTTCTGGGCTGACAAGAGTGTTAGAGCAGCAAGTCGGAGATCCTGGGACTCTGACCTGGCAGATGGGGACACGATATCTTTTGCAATAAGGTCATTCCAAGAAAAGTAGGGCAACAATTGTGTTAATCAATCTCCTTTGACTTGTTGAATAAAGGAAGCATAAATATTGTGTTCTGGGCATTGAAACTATAAAGGCAATTGACCAGATGAGGTTACAGGTCACCCCATAGCCAAGGCCTTAGAGAAGGATGGGCCAGAGAAGGAGTCTTTGCTGCACTGATTGCTGCAGTGGTGCCTAAGGCACAGTCATTTTGTATAGAATGTTAGGGTAATGGCTACTGTTCTTCAATGCAAGTCAGACCTTAAAATGTGTCAGGGTATACTTATATGGAATAAAATATAATCACGGCCACCAATAAGGATTGTCACTTTAAACATTTTCAGAATTTGATAGGGAAAGGGTTAAAAGGGTTAGTTAAATTTGATACACCCTAAATTGAGAGAGTGGTGATTGTATTGCAAGAGACGTGGGCACATCACTTACTGTAGGTCGTCGACACAGTAGTTCACCTCCTCCTTGATCTATAGCCATGGCAGGGAATATGGAACAGTGTGAGGACAGGAAAAGACAAACAGCCAGGAGAGGGAGGAGGAAAAGGGGAAGAAGGGATCAGCCAGGAGGTCCTGTCCACATTGAGCCTTCAGCACGTACTTGACTCAATCTCTACCTGAGCTGGGAGCAATATATGCAATGTCTGCAATTCATGAAGGTGATGCTTACGGTTAGAATATGACTGCAGGCCTGAATTCCTTTGTTTTGGGAACCTGTCAGGTTGGAACAAGGGTCATTGATATCATCTTCCTTTGCTGTATCAGAGAGTTGACAAAGGCCCAGTTAAACAACACCTCAATAATAAAATTCTGAACCTTGTTTTCAGATGACTCAATGATCTCAGAATTTTCTAGATCTGTAATCGCCTCTAGTCTTAAAAATACTTCCCTCTGTTTCAAGGCTTTAAACTTTCCGTGACCCTTCATTGGAAACTGAGAGTGCAGCACGGCTGTACAACTATAACTTGTCAGAGCTCTACAGTGACCAGAGCTGCCTCAGAGCACATGACTCCAAAACCTTAGCTTGTGACCCTATTTGGGATCCAAACCCCCATTTTGGGAAGCCCTGCCTTACTAGCCCCCACACTGGCCACCTCCTATAGCCAAGATTTCTGTGGTCTAACAATTCTGGTCCTTTGGCATCCATTACTTTGACTGCTTTACATTGGGAAGCTGTGCCTTTGGCCTTCAATACTTAAACTCTGGAATTTCTTTCCTAAAGGTCTTTGCCACTCTATCTCCCTTTCCTCCTTTAAGGCACTCCTTAATTCCCATCTTTTGGCACATTGTCCCTACCTCCTGTATGGCTCATTATCAAACTTAGTTTGTTAAAGTCCCTATAAAGTGCTTCAGGATCTTTGAGAGTGAACAGACAGTATTTATTGCCCATATTCTTGTTTCCCTGAGGGCAGTTAAGAGTCAAGCAGTCAGCAATGGTACTGGAGACAGGCAGCCTTCCTTGAATGCCATTAGTGAACTACTTGAGTTCTTTTCAAACAGTTCTCACAGACTTAATTCTGGTTCCGTTCCACAAAGTACTAGTTATTTTATTTATTTTGTTTTTATCATTTACATGAAAGGCCTTAAACTTTACAATCTTTGGGTTGCTAATTCAGTACCATAAAATTATAGGATAAAGTTGAGTAGTCTTACCTTGGTAGATTTTCTCAGCTTGGCTATTTTCTCATGAAGATGTACATATAAGTTCTCTGGATGATGCACCTAACATTGAGATCATTATGCAAAGTACAATCAGAGATTCATATAGTTCATGATGCCTGCGTTATGAATAAATCAAAATCTTTAGGAATATAGACAGTGGTATCAATTCACTATCTTTTACCAATCCTTCTTATTACATGTTCAAGGTCATTCAGTGGCTAAGTCTTTAACGCTTGCTTTCCTCCATTTGATTCTTTCACTAACCTGTACCTCTTCATTTTCCACAGTGCTACGTTTAAGATAAACCATAGAATTACTCTCCTATTCAATGGGTATTTATATTGCTCTTCCACACCCATTTTCTTTTGCAATGTGAAAGCAAGTTTCTTATCATAGGGAGCAAGAGCAGGAGGAGTGTAAATATCATGGGCAAGAGAGAAATCAGATGCATGAATACAATTCCAGCCAACAGTCCTCTTCTTACCTTGCAAGTCCAATGTGTGCAGTATGTTTTACTCTCTCTCTCTCACACACACACACAATTTCCCACACACACACACACTCTCCCACACACACACACACACACACACACTCTCTCTCCCACACACTCTCTCTCCCACACACACACAAACACACACACTCGCCCACACACAGACACACACACACATTTCATTCTAATTCATCATTTTAGCTCTATCAGATGTTTCCCTCGTATGTTTCCTTCTAAAGTGTATCTCTGGTGCCATCTGGTGAATAGATAAAAATGAAAAACACTCAAGGGCCGGTACAAAGAGTGGAAAATTTGATCAAAGAAATAGAGTTCCATTTCTATAGCGTCTTTCACAGTCTCAGGAAATCCATGCAATTTACAGCCATTTAATTAACTTTTGTTCTGAAGAAGAATATTTCACTTTGTTTCACTCTTTCCACAGATTGCTGCCAGAGCTACTTTGTTTCTCTAGCACTTTCTGTTTTTATTCATCTACTTTTTGAATAGAGGATACTTGTATAATGTAGGAACAAGGCAGCTATTTTGCACACAGTGAAAAGTTCCACAAATAGCCCAACAATAAGAAACAGATTATTTGTTTTATTGGTGTTTAACTGAATGAGAAATAGGAGCCACGAGTCTGGAGATAGTAATTTCCTTTCCTTCAAAATAATGGTAGGGGGTTATTTTACATCTACTTGAGAACACAACGGGTCCTCAGTTTAACATCTCATCCAAAAGACAAAATTTGCAACAATGCAGAACTCCCTCTGTTGAGTGAAGTATCAGCCTATTTTTTTTTCGCTCGGATGGTGACTTGAATCCATCATGAATCAGAGACTAAAGGACTACCAATTGAACCACCACTGAATTCACCAGGACAAAAGAAGGATGACTGCTATGTTTATCTTTTTCACAGGCTAGCCCACAATTCCGCTTCCCTAAAGCGATTTTTAAGCATTTGCTGGAGAATTTTCATTCAACATGGTTGATATGAGGTTTATTCTCCGGTAATAAAATGCCTGTGTCAAAACAAAATTCAGCCTTTTAATCCCTTTAAAGCCACAAAGGATGTTGGATCATTCAACCTCATATCCTCATATGTAGCAAACTGTATGTACTTCATAGACTAGATTGGCAAAGGAAACATTACCCAACAACACATTCTAGAAATGGTTTTACAGAGAAGTCAGTTAAGGATAAAATTAAGCTGAATCATAATAATCCTCATTTCCCGCCTGTTCATAATAATAAAGCAATGCAAAAATGACTGAGTGAAACTATATGAATGTTATTGTTACAGCTTATAGGCTCATTTATTATCACATACCGTTTTTGTAGAACCTTCCAGTACTAGTTGCAGTAACTGGGGATCTTTAGATGCTGGAAAAATAAAAGCTAACAATACCTCCATTAACTGCAGCATGTGTATCCCAGAGACACTTCTTATCTGCTAACCTAGTGGATTGGCATTATCGCATGCATACAAACAGTTGGAATATGGTCTGTGAACAATACAAATTTATTTAAAACTAAGAAAGCTGTTTGTTAGTTTTCCCATGAAGATTTTTTATTATTTCTTTGTCCAGTCAACATAGAAAATTTTCACGTATTCATAAATTTACTCCTAATATGCTGTTGAAGCTTAGATGTTCAATTATCAGCTCATTTCACTTATCACACAAAAATATACCACCATTTTATATTTCAAAAACTGCAGAAGAAAGTATAATTTCATAAATTTAATTGGACAATCTATTCAAATGTAATAATCTGCTTTAGTGTTATCAGGAAAAGTAACAGAACCAGACTGTAGAAAGTAACTGCTTACAGATGTTAAACGGGGCAAAAATCCCAGGCCTTTCTGTTACATTTCTACAATAACTTTAGCTGGAGTCGACCTGTAAAGTAGCAAAGTAACCTAGAATTTTCTTATATTAGGGATTTCACCGAACCTTGTAGAGTGTAAATATTCAAATGATACCAGGCCAATCTTGGCCAGGAGCAGATACTATCAATGTTTCTGATAGGTTTCTGTCTCCCTGACTTCTCAGGGACCTGCCAGAACATTTAGTGATGGTTGCTGAATGGCAGTTGTGGCTCCCAACTGGATGTCCATGTCTAGGGAATAATTCATTCAGAGGAAGTTAAATTAAAAAGAACAATCAATTACTTTCTGGTAGTAGGGGCACATGAATATAATTTTCCTTGTCCGAAAAGGGTATGCCAGTTGTGATTGAGCACCTTCAGAATCATCCAAATCCGTGACCTCTACTATCAAGAAGGTCAAAGGCAGCAGATACATAGAACCACCACTAGTGGAGGTTCCACACACCATTCCTACTTGGGAATATATCACTGTTACTTCTCTGTTGCTGCATCAAATGGAACTTCCTCCCTAATAGTACTTTAAGTGTACTCTAAAACCATAAGAAATGGGAACAGGAGGAGGTCATGGAATAAGGAATCACTGTTTCATGAATTTTGGAGGGAAGATCATTGATAAAGCAGCTGAAGATGTTTGGGCCGAGGTTACTACCCTGAGAAACTGCTGCAGACATGTCCTGAAGCTGAGACAACTGATCTCACAAGCATTATCTTTTGTGCTAGATATAACTCCAACCAGGAAATTTGTGGCTCACCCAATGAGCTGGTCTATGGTAAGAACTGAGACAGTGTGGGGAACAGTCTGTGTAGGAGCATGGGGTGCTATTATAACTGTAATTTTCAGGCCACTTTCTCTTACTCCCGGGAGACAAGGCGTGCAGACCGTCAAGCAGAATACAGCTGCGTCATTCACACTGTCCATAACCTACTTGGTGATAAGGGGTAGTGAGGCTTTGGCAATGCCATAGGCCCTGCAAAGCTGTTGCAAGATCTTGTTCTTGAAGTTGTGCTCCTGATCAATGTGAATCTGAGAACAGAACACTGAAATGGGCAAACCAATCAATACTAACGTCCTGGCTATTGTTAAGGCCTGTTGATATGGGTGGAAATGGCTTGTGTTGAAGACATCCGTGAGTATGAGAATGCACTCAGTCCCGTTACACTGGGGTCAAGATGTTAAAATACATTGCATGTACCTCTAGTGGACTCTGGGCAACCAAGCCTACCATGCTGAGGTGAAGTCCCTTCCATGCTTTGAGCAAAATACATCTCTTTCAGTTTTGGCGCTGGTCCTCAATATCAGCAGCCATCCCAAGTCAGTAACACCACTCTCTGGTCAGGGCGGTTTATTTTCCCATGATACTATACTGCTTTCCAGAAAAGACGGCACTTCACTAGCTTGGCTTTCAAATTAAACTGTGACAAGCAGACTAAGATGGTCTCTAGCCTTTCAAATGTCTTCTCAAATGTTGAACTAAAAATGAGTATATCATCCAAATGCTTAAGGACAGACTAGAAATTGAGTTAGCGAAGAGTTTTTCCATCACACGTATGAAGGTGACAGGGCCATTACATGCCAAATGACATTCTTGTCTATTCTTAAAATCCCAGAATGCCTGTGCAGAATGCCATGTTTTGTTCAGCAATGGATAGTTGGTTATGACTGTGGGCCAGATTGAGACGGCAGAAATACTTTGCACCTCTGAGATTTGTAACTCTTCCTCACTACTAGATAGAATACAAACATTGTTATGAATTAACTGGCTCCCTCTCCGTTACTATCGGTTAGGGATTTTGTTCCTTTTAATGAATCTCTGTGCTTAGAATGTGATAGTTGAGATCATGCAGCAGGGGCAGCATTGAGGAGAAAGAGCTTTGGTCTATACTGACCTTTGTTAGAAAATACCCACTATGAGTGAAACACTGCAGATTAACGTTTTCCTGTATTAATATCAAATGCCTCCCTGGAACATTGTTGAATATATAAACTAAATGTAGAGTTTCCTGTACATTATCCCAACAGTACTTTTTAACTACAGTCTTCAATTGACATCATTAATGTGATTCAAATTAGTGTCAACTTTTGTCTTTTGTTTTTTGTCTTGTGAAAGGTATTGAGAAGAGTGGTTTGCAGCTATACAAAAGAATTGGATCATAAGATTACAGCATAGGAGGAAACATGCAAATGTGAGAAATTCTGCTAAAGTTACAACACAGTGGTAGGATCTCAAATAAGTTTCATTCCCCAAATTGGTTGAAGGTGTCACCAAAGTTTCGGTTTCATTATTATATATAAGCTGCAGAGAGAAGCCTTTCGCTTCATCAATTCAAACTGATTTCTAAATTATGCCCCGAACTTTAAAGGATATCTTCATATATTACACAGAATTCTAAATTAGTCCTTTAAAATCTGATTCCCTATCTGCACTTGTTGCACAATGTCAGTATGAAACTATGGGGTGGCATTGTGGCATGGTGGCACAATGGTTAGCATTGCTGCCTCATAGTGCTAGGGACCTGGGTTCAATTCCTGCCTTGGGTGACTGTCTGTGTGGAGTTTGCACATTCTCCCTGTGTCTGTGTCAGTTTCCTCCCACAGTCCAAAGATGTGTAGGTTAGCCATGCTAAATTGCTAAATTGCCTTTAGTGTTTAGGGAGGTGTAGATTGGGTGGGATGCTCTGTGGGTCAGTATAGACTTGTTGAGCCAAAGGGCCTGTTTCCACATTGTAGGGATTTTATGGTTATTGGAGGGACAAAACTAAAGGGGTATCATGACAACTAAATAAATGTTCAATGTAGATTGATAATGGTACTTATTTTTTGGAATTCAAAAGGACACAGTATCAGCTGCACAGACTAGTAACTCATTAAACGGAGACAGAAGAAATTGTTATCTGGTAAAGGAGGCAACTACTGAAAGATGGCTATTTGATAACAACTCTGATATCCCCAGTTATATGATTCTTTTCGTGAAATAGAAATGTGGAAACAAAATGGAATACTTCACATATTCATGGTGAAATCACATCTTTCTTAATTTTTTTTTACACAGAGTGGTTCATGAGTGGAATGAACTGCCAGAGAAAGTGATGGACGCAGGTACAGTTACGGCATTTAAAAGACATTTGGGTAAGTTCATCAATAGGAAATGTTTAGAGGATTAGGAGCCAAGCGCAGGCAGGTGGGACCTGTTTAGTTTGGGAACATGGACAGCATGGACTAGTTGGACTGAAGGGTTTGTTTCATCGTTATATGACTCTATAACACTAAGAGCTCTTGAATACATTAGTGTTGTTCATTGTTCCCGAAATCAAGGTGGACTGAAGCCTGGGAAAAGATTTCAGCAGTTTGCACTGCTTCGGCAGGATCTTGAAATTAGGGCTCATTTTAGTAAACCTCTTGCACCTAGCCTACACTGTCAGATCATACATCAAACTCTGATTATTCAACCACTATCATGGATTTCATTTAGCCACTATCATATCCCGGTGCATTTCACTGGATTGGTGAGTAAAACACTGGATGGCAGCATAAATAAGAAAAGAGCTGGATGGGAAGAACTGATTAATCTACTTCATTCTTCTTCCACTTCCATTGTAGAATGATGTATTTTCCCTGAGGAAAAAATAAGTGACTCTTCCCACTTGGTTTCAATTCCACTTGAACTTGGTTTTCTCAACCTACATGTGGGCTCCCACCTAGGGTGGCAAAGTGCCTCACTTCCTACGGCTGCTCTCCATTTCTCAGGAATTTTCAGGAATACCTTAGGCCCTTCCCCTCTCCAAGCTCATTTCCATGAACATATGAATCGTACGGACCTTATATCAAGGTAGAAATGCTGAATAGCTATCCTTGACAATCCAACTCTCTTTCATCTCAGAAATAAATGAAGACTTTAAAGCACAACTACTTATAAAGAAACTTTATCAACAGTCTTCTGAGACTTCGAAGATTCACAGTCTATCTAGTGATGACATACAGGTTTGGCCATTGTTTTCAAGTAAAACATATTTTCTTCCCAGTAAAATAATTTGGTTCTTTTCAATCTCTACCAATAAATTTCCCCAGGCTTGCTGTCAGGCAGACTTCAGACATAACCATCCCCACATTTTCTCTTAAATTAAAGGCATAGTTCCAAAATATGATAATCTTAGAAAACTCAGAAGCGTAACAATTCCTACAGCTGTCAAAGATATCAAAGGCAAGGTCATACAGTAAAAAGAATTAATGATCATCTCAAATTACTAAGTTGTTAAGATAACAATACCTGTTAACCACAAATAATTAATAGGACCAACCAAACATAGTTCCATTCACAAGGCAAATATGCGTAAATACTTAACAACCAGCAAAACAAAATAACATTGTTGGTTTTCAACCAATGTTAACAGATCACTATATTATCAATCAAACTATTAAATTTTCACTCTTCTTTCAGCAACCATTTTGTTTTCCTCTATGGCCTATTATGTATTGAAAAATGGTATATAAACTATGTTAATACTACCAGTCGAGCAAAGGTTGACCATTATACATTCAAAATGACTTGCCAGAGGTTTCTTATACATAGGCTGTGCCCTTTCTTTCAGTGTGTGTGGAAGATAGATTACCAGAACTCCAGTTTGCATCCTTCTACTGTGAACCTATAACA